CCCCCCCCCCAAAAAAAGTGACCGATCCTGGAATGTCGTGGTTTATTGTCTTTTTTTTATTATTGAGTGTCCCAATGCAAAGTTCCTTTGTTAAAAGTCCCCAGCGGAAGTTTTTCGCAGTTATTTTTTTACTTTGATGATGATGATATGTAGCCTGGGTACCATCCTATTTGTATGCCGGGGCTCCCACACTCGCTTCCCTACTTGTTAGGGACGCGAGTGTAGGAGCCCCTGCATACAAGTAGGATGGTACCCAGGCTAGATGATATGATTCCTTGAACTTGACCTCAAGACGCTCCATCGAGGTTGATGCCAGTCAAGTTTGGCACACTGCCCTACTACCCTCCCGTTCCAAAAATATCAGCCGTGTGCTTTCTTGACTTAAAGATCTAAACACTTCAAACATGCTGACATTTTGTGCTTGAATATGTCAAGAATAACAAGAGCTCTCAACGAGTACTCTAAACGCTGTCTTACCTGTAAGCTGACACAAACTCATAAACAATCTCACGTTGTTTACTCAAGTGTCTCCGTTTGTTTACCGTTGCCGGGGCAACGCGGGGATGTGGACCTACCTTGAACAGGAAGTGTGATTATGGGAACTAATTTGGGCTGATTAAGGGACTAAATTAGAAACACTGCCTCCCAGCTGGATAGAACAATTCACACTGACACCGCAATCTTTTCTGTAGAGCTTTCACAGAGGGGTGTACATGTCTTACAATATACTCCCTCAAACTCCCTAAAATGGCTCTAACCTCCTTGCTTTATCGAAAAAGTTGGAATCGTAGATACACAAACGTTTGCAAGTTTCAAATGAGATTTTCTAATTTTATTTTTGGAAGCATAGCTCTTGTTTTGCCCTGGCCTCATGCAGAGAAATCGTCTCTCTACTAATCCTCAAGCAGACGTAGAGACGGTAGTCCATGTCAGTCTCGGTAATTCTCGCGTGATCTTGCGTGTTTTTGCCTGATCCTCGGTGTATATGGTGTGATAAAGTCTTGTCAGTCAGTTGCTATAACCACCTCATAAAACTACCCCGTTCGCTGCGCTCACTCGGTGGTTTATTCGATGGCCAAGTTATAGCAACTGACAAGACTTTATCACACCATATACACCTCGGGGCGGGTCATCAACCCTTAATTAAAACGCATATTACGCTCTACGCAAAATGCGCAAATTATGCTCTACATTGAATTATATTAGAGACGTCCATCTACGCTCTACGTAGAATAAAACGACCGGTTACGCTCTACGGAAAAGGGCATGCGGGCCGGGCCCCCGGAGAGTTTTCTGCTGTGCCGGCGCCGACAGGCCAGTGGGCCCGCTGAGAGCCAGATATGACGACAGGACTCGTCTGATGACAACATAACTGTACCGGCTAGAGATAAACTAGCCTGGATGTCAGACACACAAAGCACACTAGGCTTAAAGTTATCCAGTGTGCTATGATAACTTTGGGCCCAGTGTGCTATGGGTCTGGCATCCAGGCTAGAGATAAACATGCTTCTGAGAAGGCAGGGAGGAAAATCAACCGAAATACTCGGCTCTCTTTCTGCATGTCCTTTTTCGTAAGGCGTAATCAGGCCTTTAGTTCTTGATACTGATCCGTAGGCAGTCACCAAAAAATGAACGTATGATGTTTTGCGTAATAACCTATTCATATTTACATGCAATCACTCTCACAATGCAAAAATAGGTAAATACATAAAAACTTTTTTGTTATCAGATACCGAAACTCATGATTAGTCCCACTTGATTGTGTATTATGCTATTATAATACAATGTACTAGCACTTCATGCTATAGTAACTAGGATGTGAGGCTCATACCTTTTCGCTATCCTTTTTGTACTATGTTCAATAGTCGTTACCATGCATTGTACCATGTGCATGTATACAATTGTCGTGCAATGAAATTCTTCTATAGAATATATAGGGATTTCGGATATAATGGGTTACGTTGCATTGGGAAATACGATTTCTTGGTGGATGAAGAGGGATTTGTTCAATCGAGCTCGACTCCAGAACACCGTATAAAATGGTTACGTCTACTCACTCAGACAGTTATAGAACCCAGACATTGAAATTTCAGCTATTCATTTCTTTAAAACAGCCAAATTGGACGTCTATTTGATAAAGGTCTACTTGGTATTAGATTATGCTGGGTAAGTAATTAAATTGTCTAGGGCCAGACTCCAAAACGCGAAAAAAGAAATTG